AAGTGTGCCGGTGACTCCTTAGAGTGACAGAGATAAAAACAAGGCAGTTACTATTATTGAGTTGTTTCCGAAATGATTAGGCAGCGCAAGGGATTGAGACTCGACCTCGAGATTTTGGGAAGCTGTGATGGCGGGGTCCACAATCCAGACGCGCTAAGACTTTTTGAGACCCTCGATGGCTTTTCAGTAGACGCGAAAATGGTAATCGAATGCGATGGAAAAATAGTATATATATTCTGGTGGAAAAATGTGTTGATAGCCGTAGTTTATTTTGTTGTCGAGAGTGAAAGATGTTGATATAATTTTGTCATGTGCAACAATGGAACCAATGGAAAAAATGAAGTTGCGCTAGCTCAGAACGCGTGCCTGCAGGTCTGACGCGCCCACAACGCGTTGGCGCGTTCCTTCAAGCAAGCTACACCTAGAAAGCCCCTCGCGTATTGGTCGAGCTTCTGAGCATTAACTCAGATTGTAGAGAGAGCTCTCTCCATTATTTTCAACCTCAGATCAACAATATCACAAACGCCGAAATGGAGACTCCGAAAGACCCAATGTCTCCCTTGCCATCTCCTGCATCTGCAAATCTTCCAATATCAAAACCATACTCCCCAAAACACGCTCACTCGGTACCTTCAAGTCCAAAATCAACGCGACACGAATCCCCCAGCTCCCCAATGAGCTCACATAATTCTCCCAGTGCCTCAGAAATGGACGATTCCAGTGCCTCCGAGGCCGAAATCATTCCCTACGTACCTAGAGGACGTATGGCGGCTCGTCTCATGGGTGTTAATGCTCAAACCACTAGCAATGCTGGTCCAAATTCAGCCTTCAGCACAACAGTCCCAACCGCTCTGAATACAAAGACTACAGAGGATGATTCTGATGATGAATCACCGGTAAAGAAACCTGGGCGTTTGCAGCGGTCAACGGCTCATGACAGCTCACTTTCTACACCCCCCAAACCCGTCTCTGAGCCAGTCAGCCGTCGTTCTTCGCCTGGTCTGTTTGTCTCTCCCGGACCTAGCCACCATTCTGGATCAGAGAGCGATATTGCAGTCTCCAATGTTGCCTCAAAACTACAGAAGCTTGCTTCCAGGAAGTCAAAGGATGGCGCGTCGAGAAAGAAGCAAACAAAATCCAAGAAGTCAAAGGCTTCAGGTCCTGCAAGTGGAACGGCTCTCGAAGATCTCATCTCTTCCGATCATGATCAGGAAGACCAACAAGCAGACGAGCAGATGACTCAAAAGACGCGACCTTCAAGAAAGGCTAGCAAGAAAGCTCTTGAAGAACTGCATAGAGAAACCCAGCGAATGTCAAGAAATCAACAGCTTGCACATCAAGCCATGGTAAAAAGGAAGATCACTAAACAAGATCTTTTTGCGAGATTCAATTTCAAGCCAATCAACTCGCCAGCCACAGAGAAGCAATCCGAGGACGAGTTGACCATGTCGGGCGCCTTAGTATCATCAGACACAGAACAGGCTCAGCACAAAGACACACCACCCACGAGTCCAGCAAGCGTCAAGTCTCTAGTCAAACTATCCGTAGCGCCTGAAGCTGATGTCGGAGAACCAGCACTCCATGATGACTTGTTTGATGTCGACGACGATTTACCGGACATCAAGGAACTATTCGCTCGGGCTCGAGAGAGCAAGCTCGCACCATCATTAGCTACCGCAGCCCCAGAGCCAAAAGTGGCAAGCAAACCATCTGGTGCTAAGAAGCAATTCCGTATCGTTCCTCCCGCCTCAAAGGAGATTGTATTAGATGATTCGGATGATGAACTTGAGATTGTTAAACCCAAAGCAAAAGCTACCAAAATCTTCGACGCTTTGCCAGCCAACCGTACCATGGAGTCAGTGTCTTTGATGCAGCTACGACATTTGGCCAACCTCACATCTCCTAGCAAAAAACGCGGTAAGGGCAAGGGGCTCACTCTTCCAGAACTTCAGCAACAACTCAAAGAAAAGGCTCGCCAACAAGCCATCAAAGACAAAGAGGAGAGAATCGCTGAACTCCGAGCTCGAGGTGTTGTCATTCAAACTATGGAGGAGCGAGAACAAGAACAGCTTGAATTCGAAACACTGCTCGAGAGAGCCAGAGTTGAGGCCGCTGATATTGCGAAGAAAGAAAAGGCTGCAGCAAAGAAGGAGGGAAAACAAGACGGTGATCTTCCAGACGATGATGACGACGATGAGGACTGGGATGGCGAGGATGAGGATGAGGCGTCAGAAGCCGAGCTCTCTGGATCTGAGGATGAGGTGGAAGCCGACGAAGATGATGCAGAGCACCCAATGCCACTCTTCGACAATGAGGCCGACGAGAGCGCAGGTGAGGACTCTGAAGAGAAAGAAGTATGGGGCATCTTCCAACCCAAACCTCCCGCCGCCAAAACAGTAGATGAAATTGCTGCAGTGCCGGTGAAGGATGCTCCTTTGATTGAAAGCACACCGGAACCTACTGGAATCAATCAACAGGCTATAACTGAGACGGTCCCTGAATCAGAGACAGATGATGAGCCTGTTGCAGCCATGCCTCGAGCTCGCCCTTCTCTAAAGCGAAGAGTTGTTGAAGATGATGAGGATGAGGAAGCTTTGGCTCCTCCAACAACATTATCTGGGGTGTCTCCGGGTGACAAAGCGCGAGCAGCCTTTGGTTTCTTACCCTCCAGTGCTGCTGCAGGAGGACTTAGCCAAGCATTTGCTGGAACTCTGGGTCTGGATTCTCAAGAAGATTCTCAAGTATCCAACCTTAAATTTGACCCTGATCAAGACTCCATGGCTCTTCTGGACCACTTCCCCGGTTCCAAGTCGGACTTTGATGACTCTTTCTATAAGAGCAAGCTAATGCCTAACAGCCAGCTAGCTGCATTATCAGAGAGTGTTCCTCAAGAACCAACGCTTGGTATCAGTCTGGGAATAAGTCAATTTCCTTCCCAATTTGAGGATACGCAGATTTCTCCTGTCAAGATGTCGCAATTCATCGAGTTGACCCAGGATGCTGGGTTTGCGGCTCCACGTGAGCCTGCCGGTAAACAGCAAGTACCTCCATCTACTGTTGATACCTTGGTTCTCGCCACTCAAGAGACGCCCGTACGAAAGCCCAAAGGTCGGCTCATTCGTCGTAAAGACATGGCTATGGACTCTGAAGACGAGGATATGCAGCCTCCAGCAGAAGCTGCTCTTGGAGCGGATTCAGCGAAGGACGCCTTTAATGTCTTATCCAGAGGAGCCAAGAAGGCTGCCAATAAAGCCGCTTTCGACAAGAAGAAGAGTGCAGCCAAGGAGCTCTTTGAAGAACAGGCTGAAGAATCTGAAGATGAGTATGCTGGACTTGGAGGTGCCAGTGATGATGAGAGTAATGGAGAAATGGACGAAGAGATGCAGAGGATGATGGATGACGGTCATGTTGATGTCAACGAAAACGCTGTTGCTGCTTTCCATGCGTAAGTCCCTCCATAACACTCTCCCAAAGATCATGACTAACGAAACCTTAGCGAGAAGGAACGTCAAGCCGACGAAAAGCAAATCAATAAGCTGTACAAAGACGTCACAACCGGCCTCCTACGCAAAAAGCGAGGCGCCGCTGGCTTCGACGATCTTGATGATTCAGATGACGATGGCGCAGAACGACGTCGCCGCAAGCAAGAAGAGTTCGCTCGCATGCGACGAGCTCTGCTAGAAGATGAGAAGATTGGCAAAATCGCTCAAAATCCCAAACAGCAAGCGTTCTTCCACGCCCTCGAGGACCGCGATGACTTTGAAAGCCAAAACTTCCTCGACGATCCCACCGTCGTCTTGGTCCCTGATACCCAGCCTGATGAGCAAAAAATTCAGCCCGAGCATGCTCCTTCTCCCAGCTCAATGAAGCGCAAACTCCCAGACGACTTCGTATCCGACGACAAGGAGAATGTCCCACCAGCACGCCATCCACGCCGCACCACCGCCGCTCAGGACGCACCAACTAAACGCCCAACCTCTCTCGCTGAAATTCGCGAATCCCTCTCCTTCCTTGTCGACGAGCCTTTCATTCCCGACTCCCAGCCAACCCTAGACTTCAACGACGAAGATGATGACCCTTTCAACCTTATACACGAAAACCTCCTTTCGCGCAGCGACACAATCTCTTCCGAAACCAGCAGAACCTCCTCCGTCGTCAACCGTCTCAGTCGCACCAACACAGCCGACTCAGAAAGCGCACAACAGCCCATGGCCTTCCAAGCAGGCGGGAAAGGAATGAGTTCTATCTTCAAAGTGCCATCACTACTACGACGCGCAACAAACTTATCCACAACATCGAATTCATCGTCAACTTCTAGTGGAAGCGGCGAGAAGTCGGGAATGCGGCTGGGTGGCAGCAAGAAGAGCAATATGCATGCGCAAGCGCGTGAGGCGGAGCGGCGGTTGGTGCTGGATGCGGCGGAGAAGAAGCGCAAGGAGCATGTTAAGAAGACAGTGTTGAAGTCTCTGGGGCGTTCGATATTTGGGATTTTGAGAAAGGGGAATAGCGGGTTCGAATAGAGAGCATACCTATACAATGTTTTTATGCTTTGGTTCTTTGCGATTGTATGGAGTTTATGGTAGCGTTTATGGCAACTTATTTCTTTGATATTCATGCTGCGCTTGCTATCAACTGTCTCTGCTTTGTGATATCATGGCAACATGCGGGTCTGTTGATATATACAAACTTACCAGACCAATCTTTGTGCTATCGTTGTCTGCCTACCTATCAACTTCCATACATATCGGATCTCCTAAAGCATGTCAATATGTTCTATCACATACCTACCTACTTCTCTTTCTTCCTTGGAGCGCTGGGACGTGAAAGTACGAAATTGGAGCAAAAAGAGAACCCTAAGTACACCAGATTTTGAGAATCCCTCCATCCCAATGCTTCATATGTCCAACCACAAGTAGGTAGCTCGGAAAGCAAAAAAGAAAATTCTATCAGAAGAATGATCTAATTTGTTAGTGAAATACTTGATGAGAGTCAGGAGAATGCTTACGAGAGTGGGATTCGAACCCACGCCATTTCTGACTACGGGGGTTATAAATAACCTAAACGTAGCGCCTTAGACCACTCGGCTTGGCAATGTTAGTAATGGTATTGAATTTGCAGAATATTTGCACGTACCCATCTCACCAGATTGAGAAAAAGTTTCAAGCACAATGTCCGGCTTTTGTTACTTGATCTACAGTACGTGCCTTACGCGTCTTCTTCACAACTTATTGCCTCCCCAGCCAGTTATTGCTCATTCTTGAGTTGTAGATGCTTCATATTATATCAGAAGCTCGAGAAAGACGGGTTTTAATTCAGGCCATCAAGAACAGGAAGTTGTTGCAGCAGGCCAGATGACGATAGAGTTGTAAGGTATATTTTTAGGCTATCAGCCACTGGTCTCTGAACGTTGTTCACGTAAACAGCGAATGTAAGATCATAGTGAAAACCAATCTGACAATAGCTGAAAGGTGGAAGCAAGTATGCATCAAAGAAGTGGCCCAGAATATGTGAATTGACTTTTCTAGTCCGCGTAAAACCATATCGTACAAACGGTCAAGCCCAATCCGCTATATGCTGATCATAAGACTCCCAACCCCATCCAAGAATTATTTCTCTCCCTATGAATGAACCTGACGAGTATTCAACGAGGATGTTGGCGCAGGTGCATTGTCCTTCTGCTCCATGCTCTTCTCCGAGCAGCTAGTTCGTTGCTGTTCTCACGACACGAGAATCTGGTTGACGGGGATGTGGATTATGCGGATGAAGTAGCCGATAGCGCCCATAACGACGAATCCGAGTCCGACAGCTTGGCAAAGCTTGATGAATTCACGCTTGTTTGCTAGAGGATGGTCAGTAGATGTATACGATGATGTAAAGTATGGCTATGGATAGCTGAATAATTGCGCGAGCGCGACCGCCAACTGCAATTGGAAGGGGCATTCGCGAGTGTGTTTCTGGTGAAGCGCAAGGCGCGCTGAAAGGGTAACGTACGCTTTTGGCATCGGTTCATGAACTGTGTACCCTCCTTGAGGAATTCTCGGGGAATCTCAGCGAATTCCTTGGACAAGTTAGCTTCGAGCAAAAGCGCGCAGAAACAGACGGGCGCTGTTTACCTTGAGTTGGTCCGACATGTTGATGGTTTGATGCGATGAGGCGTATGGTGATCAAAAGGTTGGATTATAGAGTCGTGAGGGAGTGGTATGTTCAGAAGGATGAACAGTGTTGTGTTTAGGAAGAGAACAACTGTTGGCCATGAAGCCACATGGACCACAGCAGTGACCCTTTCTAGGATTTTTCAAAAGAGTTTAGCGCTGTTGCGCTGCAGCAGGGATGTTGAGGTGGGCAGACCCTCAAGCGTGCAGCAGCAGCTCCTTCCAAGTTCCCATCTCAACTTCGCCTTTTGCACCTCTCTCACTCTCACTAACTACTACGGGAAGACCGTCGCTTCCACTCATCTCATCATCGCTGATTGTTAACGAAAACCCCTCGTCGCCGGCCTCCTCTTTATACTCTATCTTCAGATTCAAGACTTCTACAACTGGATTCATACGCGCGGAGCTATAACCTTACTGCGTCTTACCAAAAGCTCTCCTTTCGATCATCCTGCTATTCGTCCACTCAACATTGATATTAGCCGCATTGTCGTTGACTCTGACTACTGGGGCTTACTGCAACTGTTACACGCTCGATCGTGAAGCTTGCGTCTGGACAGTAGGCTGCGCGACTGCACTCACATACTCACATTTCGGCCGGTCCCTTTCAAGGTCTTGCCTAGAAAATTCCACTTCTAAGATTCTCGAATTATATCTCAAACCTCACTGGCAATTAACCAGGTTTGTTTACTCGTGAATCGGAGCTCTTGGGCTGAGACTAACTGCTGGTTATCAGGCCGTCTTTTCTCCACCAATTGTCCCATTGAAACTCGCCTGTCCTTCCAATTGACTTTGTCTCCTCTGTCATATCGACTTGCATATTACATTTCAGAAGTTTTGGATTCACTCTAGGTTGCAAAACGGATTTCTATCATCCTCTGTTCACTCACCTTCTTGTTTCCTATCATCAAACCTCAGCAATCCTGTCATCTCTTCTTTGGTCTGCTGTCTACCCATTCTGTACGTATTTCCGTTATATCCTGTCTTGTCCCACTTGGCACACTTTTCAGACCATATTGGCTTTAGCCCTGGTCATCATGCCGCTTCAAATCATTTGGCAGTCGTGTATTAGAGCTAATGGCATTGTTTGTCTCTCACAGAGATTCGTCACCTACATCCCGCCTGTATATATATTCTCGAAAGAGAATATCTCAAAAGCCTTCGTGCATGGGATTTTGAGCTAGGGAGACATTTGCAACCAACTCGCTAAATCAACCAATCAAATCGTCCAAAATGGCGGAAGAGGATAATTTTGAACTCGATATTTACGGCGATGAAGGCGGCCAGGAAGAACATGGGAATAATGGCGCAGGGCAAACCGAACAATCGAATACTCAAGCGGCAACCAACCAGAATGGTTCTCAGAATGCGGCTCCCACGGAGGCAACAAATAACCAGCCAGAAGAAATGGACACCACAACAAATTCAGCATCTATAGAGCAGACCAATCCACCACAGCAAGGTGTTAAGCGTAAGAGTACAGCAGATGACCGAGTAGTCGACCCCAATGCCTCCCATGCTGTTCAGATAGTGGATCTACACTGGTGGATCACCGAGGACCATGTCAGAGGTTGGTGCGTTCTAGCTGATTCCGAATCAGAACTCAAAGAAATCACCTTCAATGAGCATAAAGTCAATGGGAAATCTAAAGGGTAAGCTCCTCACTGAACTTTAAACCTACCATGCATGAAATAACCATTCTGACTACTTCAAGACAAGTCTACGTAGAATTCGAGACACAAGCAGCGGCCACTGCAGTAAAGCGCCAAATCGACACACTAGAAATCCCAAATGACCCTAAGAAGCCCATCGCAACTTTCTACCACGGCGGTTCCAATCCCTATAAAACGACACCCAAGGACAACTCTAAGCGTAACCACGACTCCCGCCCAGAGAGAACATTTTCTGGCAATTCGACATCCGGGTACAGTGGCAGTCCGACCAACAGCAACTTCAGCAGCGGTAGTAACTCTTATCGTGGGAATCGTGGTGGTGGCTACAACCGTGGCGGTGGTGGAATGGGTGGTTATAACCGCGGAAACTTTGCTGGCGCTGGCATGGCCCCCATCAACAACATGGCAGCCGGCAACATGGGAATGCCATATGGCGCTCCTTATAACGGCGGCTTCAATCGTGGTGGCATGATGGGTGGCATGCGAGGTGGTGGAATTCCAAATCGAGGAAGAGGAGGTATGGGTGGTCCAACTCCGAACATGATGGGCCCAATGGCCGGCATGAATATGACCGGTATGCCAATGGGCGGCATGGGGATGCCAGGCGGCATGATGGGAGCCATGGGTGGTAAATATGATTCTGACTCTTTTATCATAGGGTGCTAACGTGATTTCAGGAGGCTTTCAAGGGCAGCACTTCAACCCAGGCTTCTTTCAAGGAGGCCACCAAGGCCACCAGGGACAAGCCAATGACGGCAATCAATGGGGCAATCCACACGGAGCTAAGCGTCCCCGTCCCAACGAATGAGTGGACAACTCAGACCGAATTCGATATTATATCAGCAGCGACTTGATCATCTCACATTCCGTTCCGAGAATCGCTCACAAATCCCACTCATCTAAAGCAGGTGACATCAGACCATAGTCTTTCTTCTCAAAGCATTCTTTCCGAACATTTGATAGGCTGGAGATTGGAACATTTCCCTCATAGCTATCACTCTTGTAGCCAACAAAACTTTTCATGTTTCTAGTATGCGCACTACTTTGAGATGTTTGAATCTTTGTATTATCTATCATGTTAGTTGGACTTTGGGAACATAGTGAGACTTGCTGTTTGGAGACTTTTACGCATCTTAGCCATATTATCTCGAGTGTTTGTGGACTCTTCATGTGAGAATATTGCCATTCATGGAGTACTTTTTACCTGATTCAATGACTTAGATGTCAAGTGTTGTTTATAGTGTTCTTGTTTGGTGTCTGAAAGCGTTCATACTGCTACTTCTCCTTCTCTCCTCCTATGATTTTTCTGTCCTCCGATACTTGTACCCTTTCTTTCCTATGTGGTTTGATGTAACTCCATGATGGCTGGCAGTCACTGCTTAGCTAGATGAGCTAACTAGCTCCGAGATGCACGAAACCACGGTTCTCTTGAGGTCATTGTGTTATGATTCCTTTGCTCACTCCACCGAGGGCTTCAAGCAAGTGGAGGTGTACATGTTTACTGTTCCGCCTCCTCGTAGGGGTGGTAAGATATAATGAAAAGCTGGCTGAGGTGTTTGACTACCACGCGGATGCTGCTTGAAATGCACCAATCTGCAAGTGGACGCAGACATGAACATGTATTCCCTGAATCAAGCATAAGTATGGAGCATGTTGTTGGAAAGATTTTTTGAAGTCAGCTTGGTATGATAGCCTCTGCCATTACCATAGTAGACGATGTATAGACTTGGGGTCAAAGATTACCAGAAGTAAATACTGAAAGAGTTCATTCCACGTAACGCTATTTGTAAGAATGATAAGAGTAGGTACCTAGGTACCTGTATACGAACAGCAGCCTGAGCTCGGCACAAGTGTTAGCTCAGGGCCGATCTTGACCTTGAACTTAACCCACACACTATATTTTAATGCCGCAAGTGTCTTAAAGCTATTCGAAAGCAGTACATTACCAAAACCAGAAGAACGGAGTGAAATTTGGGTGATGATGGATTTTTGGTGGTTGCGCCACATATAAACATCATGCGCCACAACTGCAAGCGCCATGCGCCACATGCACGGATCCATTGTACTCAAAACGCGGCAGGCACGCCTCGTGTCGTTACTCGTTAGCAACTCCCTCGTAAACAAACCCCAACTCCATCTCGAACTCTTTACTCCCCCCAACTACACGCTCCCACCATTCTCTCTGAGCATTCAACTTTCAACCCTCACTTCGTTTACCCGATTCAGCCGTTCGTTGATATTCGCGCCCTCTCTTCCTGGATTGTTTT